GGATTGACCCGATCCAGTTGTTCTTTCCAGCGACAGTTGGATATACCCAGTCGCTGGGCTGCCAGTCTCTTTTGACAAACTATTGCAGCCGGCATCATTAGCTGTGATTCAATGGATGGCAATGGATGGCAATGACAAAAGAAATATACACTTACATCAAAGCTCATCTCCCTCGTACTCCACAGAATGTTGAAATATGGTTGTGGAACATCTGATCCATCTTCGTAAGTGTAGACGTGGCCTTCTTCCATCACGCCTCCGTATCCGCTCAATAGGAGTGGGACGCCCCTGTCCATTTCCCAAGTTTGTGAATCGTATATGCTCCCTTTGATGCCTTTTGAGAAATAATATTTGTTAGAAGGACATAGCACGGTCTATTGAAAAGAGCACGTGGAGAGGAAACTTACCGAGGTATGTTAGCATAACGACTTCGCCATTTGACCCGCTGATCAAGACCTTGCCGCCATAAACAGGGAGTAAAGAGCTGTCAGGGGCAGCTGGCTCAGTAAAGTCGAATTTGAGCGTCACTGAAGCTCCAGCATCCAAGACAACCTCTTCAGCAGATATCGATACCTTGGCCACGTCGTCTTCTGCGGTTGAATACTTGGGCTCCAAAGCAACCCAAGCATTGGCTGAAGTGAATGTGAAAGTAGTAATGCCAGGTTGATGTGTCAGTTTGTAAATGACGCTTTCGTCGTTTGAATTCGTGAGAACGACTTCGTGGCTACCCGAGAAGTGCACCGTATCGTTGAGCTCCAGGTATGCGGGACTAATCGTGGTCCCAGACTCGATAATCTTCTGGACGTCGATGAGCCCAGCGCCCTGCTTGCCAACGGATGCTTCGTTTCCGGAGCCATCATTGTGCTTGATCGATCTGGCACTGGCGATAACGCGATCACGGGCTACCTTAACGCTGTCTCCTCCCAGGGCTTCGCGGCCGCCTCGAGAAGAAAAGAAGAGTGCACCAACACCTGCCATGTATGGGGCAGCCATGCTGGTTCCTGAGAGAACGGCCCAGCTACCCTTACTAACGGGGTATGTCGATAGAATGGTGCCGCCGGGGGCAGAGACTTCCGGTTTCATTCTGCCGTCGAGAGTAGGTCCCCAGGAGCTGTAGTCGTTGATTCTACCTCCGACATATCCTGACTTGGGAACGGCCACAGGGTCAGAACTTGTAGACAGGTGAAGAGTCACGTTGTGGCCAGCCTCGAATTGTTTCAGAATCCAGTCTCCGTCCTCGTACAGTACAAGCGCCGCTATCAGATCATTAGTTAAAATATTTTGAAAGAGAGAGGGAGGAGGAGAGAAGGAAGAGGAGGTGGTGAGACGACGTACAGTTTTCGGGGGCATTATCGCTACCTCGGACACGGCCCGGACGCTCCAGACCTACTCCCTCTTTCTGGATGTAGAAGACACTGGTGGTTAAGCCTATCAAGGTACTGTCTTGGATTTGCCAAACGCAGTCTCCCTTTCTGCTCACTTTAATTAGACAATCATATACACTGATCAGAGATTCAAGAACATCCTCATACCTAATGAATAAGGCCGTATCTTTCGGTGTTGAGCCCAGTGACCAGTTACAGGCATCGACGTCCCTTGCATTCGGATAGGCAAAAGCCTGGACGCTTCCATCAAGGGTGACATGGTTGTAATTGTCGCTGATGTATGTCTGTATTTATGTTAAAGTTATCCAAGATCGCTGTAGAGACACGGGACATGCCCATCGCTTACCATGGATCGTGTCTCATTGCTTGTTGAAGTGGCGGTGATATTATATGTGACCCAGTTCTGGGCCTCTGCACTACCTATCGCAAAACTCTCCAAACCGTTGCCTCCGCTGCTGGTGTAAAAGGAACCTGAGTAACGTGGTTAGCGAACCTGCAACTGATAGAAAGGGAGTCAAGTTTGCAACTCACCGTGATCGCCGCTATTTCCCGCCGCGACAGACACAAAGACACCTTCTGCAGCGATTTTGCTCACGACAATGGCAATTGGTTGCTCTGTAAATCCCCGGTTGGAGCCCAGAGATGCGTTAATAACGTCTGCTCCCTCTTCGTGGGCTTGGATGAATGCAGCAATGATGACATCCTCATAAACACCATCGCCACAGCCAAACACTTTGTAGGAGCGAAGGCGTGCCTCAGGAGCAACTCCGGGTATCAGGTTATCACTACTTGCCGCAATGCCAGCGACGTGGGTTCCGTGGCCCAAACAATCCATGGGATCACTGTCAGGGACATAAGGGCCACCGACAACGTAGTCATCGCCTACCAAGTCATAGCCAGATTCGACACGGAAGCCAGGTCCAAAACCTCCACCGAAAGCTGGATGTGTGTAATCAATACCGCTATCGACAGTGGCGATGATGATACCCTTGCCAAGATGGCCCTTTTTGTGCATGGCCGCGACGTTTGTTTCGTTGTGTGCGTTCCAGACAGAATAGCTGGCAAGGGCCTCACTGTCTACGGACGATGCTTCGCCGACAACAGGAATGGAAAATAAGGCAGCTGGCCATATCTTCTCAACTTCTGGCAAGGACTGGATTTCTTCGACAGTCTCTTCACTAGGATGAGCCAAGTCAAAGGAAGCCCCCTCGAACAAGGTGGACGAAAAGTTCAACGCGGGGGTGGCATTTTGTCCGGAGTCACTGAGAGTCAAGAAGAATTCGGAAGTATCCTGTGCAAGAAGTCGCATCACTTTGTCAGCCACATGATGAAACATTCATTGAATGAATAACATACAGCACTTCCATCACGTTTCTTGAATCGGGCAGCTCCCTGAGAAGAGAACTGGACAATGTATCTCAACGGTTGGTCAGGATATGCCGCAGATCCCAGAGAGCCATCCGTGACAGATTCTCCCAGGGAAGAACCTAGCAAGGGGAGGAGGAAGACCAAAGATAACGGACCACGCATCGTCACTCGAGCCTCCTATTGCAGGAGTAGCTATGAGCTGAATATTGACAGATGTGCACGAAGAGAAGCCAAATACTCGGCGGGATCGTCTACATATTATCCCGAAAGTTTACCCATTATTCCGTAAATGAGGATGACATTGCATTACCGGCCCTGCTGCCCATAGCCCATGTCACATCAAGAATCGTGGCCTTGATGAGGAGGATCTAATCAGATAAGATGGGCCGGCAGGAGATAAGATGGAATTCATCGAATCGGCTTCCGATCGGAGAGCCAAGAACATCCTCAATATTGCCGAGCAAGCCTTACCGGCTTGGCCGGAGTGATGGAGCCAGTACGCAGAGGCAGTGAGTTATTTACGAGCCATTTCACCACCCAACTTGACCGTTGACAGGAAACGGGGCAAGGTGAAGTGGCCCCGGTCGTAATATCGATTTGATAACCATAAACCACATAAGGAGCTTCCCGAAATGACTACAGCCTGAATCCGGTTTGGTTACATCGGCCCCTTGCGTTAGTCACAGGAACCAACCAATCTTGACCGCCTGCGCGTTAAAGAAGCTTACACGCATTTGTTGAATCCCGGCAGTGAGTGGTTTAAGAGGTTCTAAACCTTTTACATGCCTGTTTCGATATTACATCCGTCTCTGGATCCGCCAAACCGGGTTTTGTCACCTTTATTAACTTCCATACCCGCTGAAGCGTGGCGTGACAGACGCACCAATTTCCCGGATTTGGCCGGTATCGGATCTGTCCTGACTTGGTTCTTTCAATCAAGCTTGGCAATGACATCCCAGAGCGAATTGTGACCAGCACCTGATCAATATTTCTTTATCAAGGATCAAAGAGTCAATTTGATTTGGAAAAGACATGTCAAGGAAGAATCTCGGCTACGTAGAAGCAGGGATTCTTAACAACCCCATCTCAAGCAGTTAGCTACTTGGGATAAGCCAGCTCTACCGCACCTTTTCTAAATTTGAGACAATTGTTAAATCACCCATATCTACAACGTACAATCACTTGAAATTTTCAATGCCAGATGGGGCTAAATCGATCCTTGAATGGAGAAGAAGTTGCGGTCAAACCCTCAGTGTATATTACACCCTCTCTCAAGTAGCAAGTGCCAAAGTAGATAAGGCGCGGAATTAGCTTCTTATATTACAGCACTTCGACTTACGATGTGATTTGCAATAGGAAGTGGTGCCTCATCTACTGAACGGATAATTTTAGTATCAAAGTTTATAATCCCTGCCCTCACTTTACATCCGCGAATATGTGTAGGTGAACTAATCAAGCACCACTACCGAGCTACTTACAAAATTCGAAAATAAGACATTGAGCTTGCCACATCTAAAACGCGTAATCTAGGTCTCCCGGAAATTCGATATACACCAGCGGTCAATACGAGCACATTTCTTCGAAGGCCAAGATTCTCAAGGAGATGGCAGGTACATATTTTATCGGGTGAATTACTATTGCAGGATAAAAGTTTGAAGGGTTCACACGCTGGCACACAGAAAGGAGAAATACAACAACAAACCAAGAGCAGCACTGTTGTTGCTTTGTCATTGGAGCCGCGGACTGAATCGACAGACTTGTTGGTGTTATGAATGTTAGGCCAGTGATTGCTACCAAATAACGTTCCATTACCTGAAATACTAAACCATCTACCCCATGTCCCGCGTATAATAGGTAAACGGATCTCTACTCTAATTAAGGCTGGATATAATTAGGTTAGTGGATTGCGTGTTGACTGCTGCTGGGCTAACATGAATACGAGTACAAAGAGGGCGCTATTGCCGTCTAGTGACTCTTATTTCTCCAGAATCGCAATTTCGCATGAAACTAGCAGTCAGCCAAACCATTTCAGGAAGGTCACCAAGCAGGAGGCTGAGCATTCCATCGGGATCATGTTCAAAGTATTCTATGCATATTCGTTTCTGTCTAAATGCTCTTTGCAGCGTATCTATTCTATTCCACTCCGTGTACTATGTCAAGCCAGAATCATTAACTCATCTCTCTATTAATCGTTTTACGAATATCAAAACTCATCCATCGTCTATAAGCTCACATGCTGGTATGTGCTCACACTAGCATCATTGCAGACCAAGCTATGAGACCTGCGATGACACTGGGCACAGAAAATACGGCTCTGTCAGCAGCATTAGGCTTGGCAGAGGTTGTAGAGGTAGTCGAGGCCGAAGTCGTCGTCGTCGTCGCCGTCGTCGAGCGAACTGGTTCCAAGCTCATATTGGCGCTTTCAGCAGCGGCAGATGTTACCGGATGTCTTGTAGTGGTGGTACTCGTAGTGGACGCGGTCTGAGTCCCACGACTGTCTACAGAAGAAGTCACAGTGGTGCTAGTCTTTGCGCTGGAAGTTGTTGCCTTTACTTCCACCGTTGTTGATGAAGAGGTTGTAGTTGGAGCTTGTGACTTGGAGGTCGCCTCGACCTTGGTGGAAGTTTCTGACTTGACAGTCGTGCTGGACTTGGAATCACCGCCGAGTCCGCCCCAAGGTCCTCCGGTCTTGGGATCACGATACCAATTCGACGAGGGGTCGCCAAGGCAATCGCCGATAGTGGTAAACTGGTATCCCTTTTCCTTCGCGACGTCTATCATGTACTGAACAAAACCATCGGCCGTGAAAGGATGGATGTCGTGGGCAAGAGAAATCCACTTGTCGTTGGTGGGATTGCTGGCTTTGATGATACCGGAGTAGATCTGTTTTGCGTTGACACCACCATCTTGCCAGTCCCTAGTATCGATGTTGAAATCCGTCTACTTCATTGTTAGGAACATGAAGGATTTTAGAAAAGGGTATTCATCTTACAATGTGGTAAGCGTATTCATTCAGAATAGATATGCAAGGCGCGCTGCAATGGGTGTATGGAGGCCTCCAGTACGTAGGGATGACACCGAAAGTCTTGGAGAATATGTCCTCATTCTTTAAAACTTCTTCTCTCATCTGCTGCTGGGAGATGGCGTCAAAGTTCTGATGGCTCCATGAGTGACTGCCGAGCTGGTGGCCGGCATTGAACATGCGCTTCAGCACGGACGCGTACGAAGCATTGGAGATGCCGGTTTGGCCGTTCGGGCTGGAGCCAACGAGGAAGAATGTCGCCTTGATGTTGCCGTTCTTTTCGAGGGTGTCGAGGACTTTCGCGGTATACTCGCCAGGCCCGTCATCGAAAGAGAGCGCAACCTTGCCCTTGACGGTGCAGGTGGTGATGTCGACACCATACGGAACATTGCCGAAGCGCGGCCGGGGCATGTCTCTGACTTCGAGAGAAGCGGGTGAATCGACGGGAACGGCGGCGGCCAGGTCACCCACGGCGATCAAAGCCGCGAGGAGGCTGAGTTGCTGGGTCCTAGGAAACATCTCTGCCACCGGACGCAATGGAACAACAAATATGATCGATTGTCAGAAGATCGCGGCATGGCAGAGGGACGGGAGAAACACCGTATTTAATAATTCATAAACCCACAAAATTCGGGCGGAGAATTGTTAGATGATCGTCTCATACGCGACGGGGCGTGGAAATCACGGCAGCCTGATGGGCTGGCCCTGCGAGCTATCCATTGAACACGTGGGGAAGGCCAGGAACCGCCACTTGACAAGGATGTGGGGGAGGTCTAGGCGTGAGGCAAGCATCAAGTTGAGGGACGGCCTCAGCTTTGATGGAGGGCGAGATGCCGTGAGCCGCGAGCCGTCGCAAGCTATACGCCGGGGGATTGACCCAGGCCCATCGTAGATCTTATCTACATACGAGGTTACAAGATCGCTGGCAGGCGAGACTCAGCAAGAGAGAAGGTCACGCTGAAGCTCATGCATAAGTCTAGGGAAGAGGAGGTCCCCTTTCGTCGAGACTCTTGATTATAATGTCGCAACGCGGACGAAAATGGTGCAAACGTGCCCTCGCCGCCACGCCGTCTCGGGACCTAGGACTAGATCTTCGATGGCCTCGTTAGTGAACCAGCTGGCTGGGCTAGACTTGGGCTAGGAGGAACCGACAGTTAGACATATGCAGGGGATTATGTCTCCGAGCGAGTGATGGTCTTCCGTGCGTACGAAACTCTTGGTGACGCAAGTAGCCTAAGTTTTCACATACGTATCCTAGGTATTTCAGGGAGTGAGTCGTTCTCAATACGATCCAAAACTCTGATGGAAGAGAGTTCCAATGTCACTCAGGCCCATCGAACAGGCTGACTGGACGCTTACGCGGGAAATGAATCTAGACCATTGATGCTCTAAGTGGGGGCTGACATGCTCATCTTATACGCTCTAGAACGGAACACGAGTGCTCCCCCCCACGAGGATTCTGCCTAAGGGCTTTTCTTGTTCTACACGTGCCCTAGAGCAGCATAGGTAGTCAGGGGTGAGGCTGGTTGAAAGCACGCAACGGCTTTACAATTGAAATCCGTAGTGTATGGTGGGGAACCAACTTTCAATGTGTTGAATGAGACTTGGTTCTTTTGGGCTTCTCTTGCAACTAGAACCAGCCAGTTAAGTCCAAAGTAGGTCGCGGTCGCAAATTCACACATGTTCAGCATTGGAAACTGGCATGGCATGTCACATTGGTCTGTTATCAAATATATTCATCCAACGCAGCTTGACGTTCAATGTTCTCTCCCAACTTGAGGCAAGCAGCGGCTGTCCATCAAGCCCCTAGCCAACATGTAAAAGTCATAATAACACAATAAAAAAAAGAATGTGAAGGACAAGATAGACTTGAGTCTCTATGCAATTGAAATAGAATAATCACCCCCTCGCCTGCTATTGCTTGCGTATGAAGAGGACACTTCAATTCGCATGCCATGTATAGGGTAGCCTGGGGAGGTCAAGCCCCTGAATGCGCGATGCGTTCTGATTTGATGTTTTCCCTGTTTGTTGAGTCATAATAAATGGCACCTATTTGCGGAACTTGCCGTTGCTTTCTGCTCGTTTGGAATTTGATTACCCCCGTTCGAGGTGTCAGCTCTAATTCAATTAATTTTCTATTTTCTGTGTACCAGCGTGCGAACCTTTCAAAATTATTCTGCAATAGTATTTCATCCGATAAAATATAAACCTACTATCTCCTCGGGTATCTCTACTGTCTAGGATACGGTTGTGTCCTGACCGCTGATATGTATCGAGGTTTCTGTGACACCTTGATTTCGTCTTTTAGGTGTCGGAGCCCAATCATGGCGAGAAGCTCCGTTCGAAGCTGCTCCAGGTCATCAAAGATGCAAGGGCCAATATGACGGTAACTGGAATGGGTAGTGTTATGAATATCCACTTCACCCGCAATGAGATCAAATGCATCGATGACTCAAAGGTTGTAGATCCGAGCCTCGGGCCTCTGCTCTTTTCTGACATGCTCCGAAAGGGAATTCTTCTCGCGACAAGAGGTATGATTTGTCTTATGACAATTCACACTGAGGACGAGCTCGACCGAGTTGTTCAAGCATTCAAAGAATTCATCGAAGAGAGGAGGGAGCTTGTTTGCTAAGTGGAAACGTCGACCGTCGGGGGATCAGATATGGTGTTTGTTAGATGATCATATAGCTTCTATGGTTCGCCAGCCACCCTAAATTCCTATTTCTTGTGACACTAATTTGAATGTATGAACTATGCTGGTCAACTGTGAAGAACATCCCTTTCATATTCCCGTGCCGAGTCAGGTCTACCACCTTTTTTTATACGACCGAGTTGCCGGATTCAAATCATTAAAAGCAAGAGATGACCAAAGCATGGATCTGGTACGGTACACTCTCTTCAGTGTCATTTAATTTCTTCGTAGCTACACTTGTAGTAGTTATCCAACGGCGCATCAACCTTTATCTTATTGCACATATCATGAATGATGGCGACAATCTCATCGCCCAATGGGCCTGCCTGTACCACTTCTAGCGTTCGCTGAAGCTGAGCCACAGTGCGAGCTCCAAGTATCATGGCATCCCCTTGCCATAAGCTGCTGTTGAATGCTACCCAGCGATATGTAAGCGAAACTGTTGACATGCCAGTCTTCTGCGCAATGCGAGCCCATACCTCTAATAATAAATGCCTAGATGTTAAGCCAACCGAGAGGGTACTCTCTTGTATTGGGTTGGTGGGAGGGGCCGTGGTAACACCTCGAGTAGACGGTTAAGCAACGTCGGAATCTGTGTTGTCGTAGCGGCAAGGTTGGTTGCAGTTCTCGCGAAGTGATTGGTTGAGTCGATAAACCGCTAAGTGATGTTGACGAGAGTGGATATTGTTTCTTATCACGGATTCGTTCGGGTCCGAAACTAAGCCCTTGGCTCCCAAGGCAAGATGTGTAATAGTAGCTGAAAGATTTGTATTATAAATTATGGTTTCAAATTGCTACTAATACTTCATGCAGCTGGCTTGATCACTACACCGGAGAGAGTTTTGATAGCAAGTTAAAACAAAAAAGATATCACTCAATTTGATCACTACACAATTCTCCTAAATTGGTTTCCGGGGACAATGGTTGGAGGGGAGTGGGCGGACAGAACCCGTGTAAATGATCAATGGCTAATAGTTGAAAACATACATATATAAAAGAGTTTTTTGACCAATTTGCTTTTGAGATCAGAGGCAGGGCTCAGTTGTTTACCTTTCCGGCCTACGTGAGAAGCTTACGTCTCAGTCTTTCGAGGCTAGAGAGTGCCGGAAGCCGCGCCAGAGAGTGGTTTAGTCCTTTCCCGCGTCCTAGAACTGTGTGTAGGATTTGCAATAAGAGCGACAAAGGTCTGATTCGCTGGCTCAGAGAATGACAAAGTGATACACTTTGGCACTGGGTAGGAATGAATGTTCGCCACTGCACGTGCCAGGTTACATCCGTATGCCCCTTTAGTATTATGTGAAAGACTAAGACACACAGAAATCTAACACCGCCTTGCCCGTCTTATCGCCTCTGAAAAGCTCTACTAAAGCCCCTGGTCGCTTTCCCAACTCTTTGGTCACGCTGAGGATGGGCTTCACTTCGCTGGACTTGATAAGCTCCCGCATCTTCTCCCGATGCTCAGCAGAATAGCCAAAGACCCAGTCTCCGGGGGTGGATGAAAATCCTCGCAATGTTAGGCTCTTGCTCACCACCGGCAAGAGATTACGGATGCCATATTGCTTATCGAATGGGAGGTTGTACTGAGAGGCAGCGCCACAGTTCACTAAGAAGGCCTGTTAGTTGCAAAAGCGTGGGAAGTAATTAATTAAAGGAGTACGGAGACATTACCAATCCGCCCGTGATCCCTCATCAGTTCGATAGCCGCCTCTAGTATCTCGCCGCCTACGTTGTCGTAAAATACTGCCACAAGGACACAATTAGCTCACCATTTGCACAGCACTCCTCATGTACGTGCAACTTACTGTCAACTCCATTCGGTGCTAGACCTCTCAGCTGCTGTACCAAGTTCCCCTTCTTATAGTTGATTGCTCCGTCGAATCCAAGGTCCTTGATCAGATTCACCTTCTCGTCGCTCCCCACAATACCGAGTACAGTGAGGCCGTAATGTTTTGCTAGCTGACCCACCGTCTGGCCGACAGCGCCGCTAGCTGCCGACACCAGGATGGTCTCTCCCTTTTTTGGCTTTCCGATCTCATTCAGAGCGGCGCAAGCTGCCAGGCCTGGACTGCCAAGGGGCCCAGGGAAGACTTTTAGGTCAATGCCTTCCGTGTCCCGAATATAATCGAGGCTTCCGATGTCATCTTGTCCTGAAATTATGTGGTATTCCTGTATAGGCTTATAAGCTCTTAGGACATCACCTTCCTTCACGTCCTTGACACTCTGATCAACCCGAAGGACCTTCATGAGAATGGTGCTGGTAATAAGCTCCCCGGGTTGGTATGGAGTAAAGACCTTTGAATCCTCGGGAGGAGTCATGCGCAGCCTCATCGACGGATCCAGTGACGCGTAGAGGGTTTGGGTGGTGATGGTTCCCTCCGGCGGAGGGGCATCGATATCGAATGTGCCCACTTCCTTGACGATGACATGCTCCCTTGGTACGGGCACGCCGCGTGAAGACTGGACAAAAACCAGAGCCCGGTTTGGGACCATTTTATCTTGTCAATCAGATGTACGAAAGGGTATGTAACAGGGAATGCTAACTTGAGCAGATTTTATGTGTGCGTATTAGCAACTCAGTACGTCAAGTATCTATTTGATAATTCTATATATACAGAAAGGGCTAGAATGGATGCCGGGATCTGGTTCGGCCGAGATAACATCTATAACGATTCACTATAGCTAGAGATTACTAATTAAAGCAGAATTAATAGAAGACTTAAATTTCCTATTATCTAATAAGGGTCTATAGATAATCTATTTATTTAAAATTAAAAAGAAGGGTATTATATAAGATATCCCGTGATCTTCGCTCTATCGTATCACAACATCTATAGTGGATCGATTTAGGCAACGGAGCCGTTCACCCGAGGCTCTTGAGGCCTCGCCGAGCATTTCCAACAAACTTGAGCACCTGGTTATTTGGCCTACTTTGGATCGTTGTTAATATCTCGTCCTATGAGATATATTGGACTGCGGCATTGTGTAATTAGTAGACTAGAAGCTGAAAATATTTCTCTTTGATCAAGGAGGAAAATAAGATTATGTAACTGTACCGGTGATTAGAAACAACCCGCTGGAAGGTCCGGGGAGATCAGCTAAGTAGTTAATCAAAATTCCTCTGTTCCAATACTTGTTGTCTCCATGTGTGCGCTGGTGTCGGGTCTCCGCGGGACCCGATCAAGATACCACATGTACACCTGGTCCCCACTCATGTAGTCATGTACGCGGCGATTGTCAGCTGGTAGCGTCGGGCTTTGATCTCCATCAAGTCAAGCTGGTTTACGTTGATGCGCCAAGAGCTACTAGCTTCCTGAGGCTTCATCAAGATGGGTCCGGTCTACATTCGCTTAGGATCCGGGCTTGAATTGCTGACTTGTAAAGGACACGATCTTTCTTATGAGATAATATGGGTGTTTGCTCTTCAACCTGTCCTTATTCTCCACCTTGAATATCATTATATCCCGCTTGACAAAATGACCGACTTATACGCCCAAGTACACGAAGACCCCAAGGGGCCCGGAGATGCAAGACCGACTGCTCTGAATATCATCCAAGATGGAAAGTTGGAAGGAGTGCTGCAAAATCAAGCCGTGTTTATCACTGGTTGCTCGGCCGGCATGGGCGTTGAAACAGCCAAGGCCATGTACGCAACAGGTGCTACGCTCTACCTGAAGTTTCGTAACCGAGAAAAGGCCCAATCTGCACTGGGGGAAATGCTTAATAGCGAGCGTGTGCATCCGCTCGAGATGGATCTCAACTCGCTAGCCAGCGTGCGCGCCTGTGCAGAACACTTTCTATCGAAGAGGAAAACACTCAATATTCTAATTTGTAACGCCGGTGCCCATTCTCCCCAGAAAAGCCAAACTAAAGATGGCTTCGAGCTCCATTTTGGAGTCAACCATCTCGCTCACTTCCTCCTTTTCAAATTGCTGAAACCGGCTCTGCAGGCTGGCGTTACCCCAGATCGGGCCTCCCGCGTGGTGGTCCTTTCCTCGATCGCACACCGCTTTGCTGAACTAAACTTGGACGACATAAATTATGACAATGATTATCACGGTATGCTTGCTTACGGTGCGAGCAAAACGGCAAATATATGGATGGCGAACGAAATCGAGCGAAGATACGGACCTAGCGGCCTCCATGCTTGGAGTGTGAATCCAGGTGCTGTTATCACCGAGCTGAATCGGCATATGACCGATGAGGAAAGGGCTTCAGATCGCGCGGACCCAATGAAGAAGAACATTTTCAAGTCGTCCAGCCAGGGCGCCGCAACCGCTGTCTGGGCTGCAACTGCTAAGGATTTGGAGGGACAAGGCGGTGGATATTTGGAAGATGTTCATGTCTCTAGGGCGTGGAACTCTTCAGATGGCCAATTTGGGCCAGGTTACGCTCCGCATGCTCTAGACACCAACAAGGCGAATAAATTATGGGAGATGTCGGAAGAATTTGTCAAGTCATATTAGATCGAAAGCAAATGTTGCTTTCATATTTCCAAGACATAGAGCCTTTTCTGTCACTTAGATTTAACATCTAACTTTGGTATATACCAACAACTTTGATTCTAAGCCTCATAACCATGGTATACATCATGTTGATCATTCTATCTGAGGACTCGCATACATCAGACAGGCGGGCAAGCCACCACAGGTCCAGAAACTCGATTCAGCTAAGACTTCTAGCCTCCTCTTATCCATTATTCACTTCTAGTTGCCCGAATATGGCTCATCCACGCCCGTGAACAAGACCGCCATGTCCATGCTGTCAAGCTCAAAATTGAATACGTCTATGTTCTCCTCCATATGCCTTGGCTGAACGGCCTTTGGCAGAGGGGTGTATCCCTTGACAATAGTTAGTAAAAAGCACGAAAACTTCGCTTGTGGCAAAAAGAAACTCACTTTTTGCAGGCTCCACCGCAAGAGTATTTGTGCCGGCGACTTCGAATGTTTTTTTGCCAGGTTTTGGAGCATCGTCTCGTTGAACCTTTCAGCCCTTACAAGGGGCGACCAGCCTTGCACCTGTATGTTGCGCTGGAAACTCCAATCGACAACGTCTGTCTGGTTGACCCAGGGATGCATCTCAACCTGGATGACTGACAGAGTACCTGCTTTGGTTTTGCCCTCTTTCTTCTCCGTCTCTTTGATCCAAGCCTCAAGCTCTTCAAGCTGATCGAGCTCAAAGTTAGACACACCAATACTACGTACCTTCTTCTGCTCGACGGCCTCAGCTAAAGCCTTCCACGACCCCAGACGATCTTCTCTTGTACCGTCTGGTGTATGTATAAGATATAGGTCCAGATAATCGAGGCCAGTAACTTCGAGCGTTCTCTCGAGAGCATTCTTTGTTCGGTTGTAGTTATTCGGAGGAGGTGCTTTAGACGTAAAGAAGAGATCTTGACGAGGAATACCAGACTGGTTCATGGCGATGGCAACTTGGGCCTCGTTGCCATAATAAGTTGCGCAGTCTATGTGGCGAAAACCATATTGGATGGCTTGGCCAACAGCTTGGGCGGTTATATTTTCAGGACTATGGCTAGATTAGCTTGAACAGCTCTTTAGAAACAATACTTACATCAGATAGGTGCCATATCCGATAACCGGGGCCTCATATCCCGAGTTCAATGTCCATGTTGTATTTAGAGAAAGGGCTGGAGGGTTATAAGCAAAAGTAGTGAATGGACCGGTAACATGGAAAGGTACGACAGCCATCTTCGAAACGTGCTTGAAATCCAAATGTGGATAGTATTCTGCTAGGTAGAAGTGATGATAAATGATTGTTTTAAGCGCTTGCTAGGAGCAGTGTGAAACGAGTCCATTGTCCAAGCTTTATATCTTATAGCAATAACTTTTTCCAGACAACTTGGGAAAACAGCATCATTCCATGAAACGAGCTTGATGACGAGGCCCTGGAGAACACCAACCTGGACTTACCGCCGGTTGTGTGTGAATGTAACCACAAACAACACAGTGTGAGGTGTGATCTTATGCTACGCTACTATCTAAGTGAATTCTCTGAGGCCGACTGCCCTTGCAAAGAGCGCAGCCATGTATGTATTCACGTACCGCAATATGACGCGGCTAGGATTCGGTATTTTCAGCACACCGACGGTCCGGGGCGGACTCCGGAGGAGGTGGAGTATATACAACATGCAAGCATCATTCAACTTCGGACAAACCCTTCTTTTGGACGTTCGGGAAAACACAGGAGGCTTGGTAGTACGTCACAGCCTCTGATTTCGACAAATCATTCACACCCCAGCGTACTCCGTGTGGTTTGTCGAGAATCTAGAAGACAAAGGGAGGGTAGTAGTCGGTCGTAAGAGTTAGTCTCATGCAACTGGCTTATGTACTAAAAAATAGACTAACAATATCCAGCTAGATTAGAAAGGGGCTGTGTCATTGCTTAAAACACACCAACCCCATCTATTTAGATTAACCGTTGCACACATTAGGTTGTTTAGGTGGATTACTCTCCAGGTTCCTGCTAATCATCAACTGGGTTGGAGCGGCGGATATCATCTGAAGGGAAAGAGAATAATGGGCAGTCTTCCTTATGGCCTCTGCATTCCCACCGAATACAAATACCACTGCCCCCTTCCCAACATATAAATATCTTTAAACTTTCTTATTATTACCAGATGCCCCATCTAACACACAAGAACTAGTCATCTTATTATGGCATATTTCTTTCATTGGTGCCCCAACCAGATTATCTCGTTCTTGACCTCCATCATAGTGCTATCCGCCATTTCTTCAGCGGCCTGCAGCACTTCCAAGAACGCAACGCACAACAGCATGGACAAGGTCACCTTCTCAAGCCATTTTGGAGTCAGTCTCGCTGGTGATCTGTATCACCCATGCGATTTCAACCCTGACACAACTTATGCAGCTATCATCACGGTCTCTCCAGCAGGCGGCGTCAAGGAACAGACCTCTGGGCTCTATGCTCAGAAGCTTGCTAAGGAAGGCTTCATTACCCTCTCCTTCGATGCATTCTCGCGTGGTGAAAGCGGAGGCTTACCACGATACCAAGAGAGTTCGATTGCACGAGTTGAGGATATTCGGGGCGCAGTGGATTACTTGGTGAGCCTTCCTTATGTGGATGCAAACCATATTGCCGTGTTGGGCATATGCGCAGGTGGCGGTTATGCTGCAAGTGCTGCGATGACAGAGCGACGAATCAAGGCGGTCGGTCTTGTAGTCCCCGTGAACGGAGGACGAGAGAACCGGGCGGCCGGCCAGCAAGCCACGATTGCCTCCCTTGAACAAATCGCGGAGCTACGCTCAGCAGAGTCCCGTGGAGAAGAGCCCACACTCAGTGCATGGATACCTGACGAGTATATAAACTCTACCGACATTGACCAGCGGGAAGCATACGACTACTACCGTACGTCAAGGGGAGGTTTGCATCCAAATTGGGAGAACAAGGTACAAATGTCAACTATGGACGCTGTGATGGCATTTGATGCTTTCTATCTAGCCGACATGCTTCTCACTCAGCCCTTGAGAATAATTGTCGGTAGCAAGATTGGGTCGTTTGGATCCAATCAGGATGGCCATACTTTATACGAAGACGCGGCCTCCACGAAGAAAGATATCGTTGTAATGGAGGGTGCCTCTCACTTCGACCTGTATGATAAGCCTCAGTACGTTGACGTAGCAGTAGATAGCTTTGCCGCCTTCTTCAGGGCCAACTTATCTTGAATTGAATTAATCATTTATCTGAAAAAATCACCTCACATCCTAGATGTCATTCGCAGGGAATCTGGCCCGACTAACATACTGACCGAAGATAGGTGACCACTTTCTATGACACTTTACTTTCGCATGTCAGATATCGCGGGCCCATGCTCTCATTTTGAGCTTTATGAGTTGCCGGGCAGTCTTATCCGAAAGTCATTGATCAAGTTCTTAGCTAAGTCATCCAGATGGCCATGGTTCTTCTGGAAGTCGATGTTTCTAAGACGAACCATTCCCGCTCCTAACCCCCTTGAACTAATCACTTTGGGAGGAAATTTACATTCTCCTCAACTTGACCGAGTTCTCCTTCATGTACCTAGTCTAAGGTCTTTTAGGTCTTTTACGTTTTCTACATTGACCACCAACCCTCCCACATTGGAGTTTTGGTATTCGAATCCTAACACCTATACAATATAGAGCTAGAACTAGTTTATTTAAACCGAAATGCACCTAAATCTGAATCCGAAGTGTAAATTACGACAGCACGACATGAACAAGAAACCCAACACGTAAGACCACTTCAGTTGTCCTGGGGATAGGGAATACCTGAGAGAGTCTGAGGGCAAATTTGAACAGTGATGGACGATGCCAGGCCCGAAATCTTCACATAATTAGCCCGTTCTTTGAAATAAAATAACCAAACCTTCGTATGATATTGCTTCTGTAGTACTACATGGCGTGATGAGCAGGAGACTGCAACCTGTATGCGATGTGTAGGGTAGCCTGGGTATGCTGAACCCCTGAATGCGCGATGCGTTCTGGAATCTCTCCTTGTTGGTTGAGTCATAACAATGGCACATATTTGCGGAACTTGCCGTTGCTTCCTGATTGTTCGGAATCTAATGACCCCCGTTCAAGGTGTCAGCTCTAATTCAATGGTAAATCTCGAGAGCGGCTTGATTGACTCTGCCGCTCTTGATTCGCCTCTCAGCGCGTATTCAGTGCCCTTCTTCGAATGAATCACTGAGCTGATCAGAGAAACATTCTCGCGTGATGATTGAAGGAGGGCCCACAAGAAGTGCCCACCCTCCTTCATACGATTGTACCGAAATGGGCGAAATCTCACACGCGACTTTGCAGCCGCTTTGCTCCACGGGCATTCTGCGAGCCGGTTGACGTACGTGCTGTACTGCCTGCATTAATTGTCGCAAGACATTTCCAGAGCCATTGCCGCACAGAATGGTCCAGATAGTCGACGACGGCTACGTCCTGGTCTCGTGGGAAGACGCAGACGGCCTCTCGTCGCATGAAGACGCCCCAGCACCCCCTCTTCTTCAGCCCATCAGCGAAATTGTCGACGACTTGGCAGAGCAGTTCTGGCCCGTGAACAAGAGAATCCACGATCATCCAGAGCTGAAGTTCCGAGAGCACATCGCCCACGATGCTCTGACAGAGTACATGCGATCCCGCCCTGGCTGGAGCGTGACGCCCTCAGCCTACGGCATGGAGACTGCCTGGGTGGCTTCCTATGATACCGGCCGTCCTGGCCCAGTCGTTTCTTTCAACGTGGAAATGGGTGAGACGCACCAGATTGATTGCCTCCATCGAAAACCTCCTGCGCTGACCAGATCTGCCCCTGACAAGATGCTCTTCCTGGGATAGGCCACGCTTGCGGACACAACTTGATTGCCACGGCTTCGGTTCTCGGGGCAGTTGCTGTTTCAGAACTGATGAAGCAGAACCTGATCTCTACCGGTAAAGTGGTCGCCTTTGGAACCCCGGCGGAAGAAGGTTAGTACTTAGTTGCGATCTTAGCAAAGGTTTCTCAATTGACGATCCTTAGGTGGCGGGGGTAAAATCAATCTTTTGGAGGCCGGGGCTTATTCTGACCATCGGGTCGATATCAGTTTGATCTCGCATCCAGATGCGAGTGCGAATGCTGCGCTGATGAGAACCACGGCCACGCATGGATTCAAGGCTGAATACTTTGGTCGGGAAGCCCACGCGGCTGCAAATCCTTGGCTAGGTATAAACGCTCTCGATGCCCTCATCTCTGCCTACAACAACATCTCAATGCTGCGACAGCAAACGATGCCTGATGATATCATTCAAGGCTACATCTCAAATGGGGGTAGAGCGTCGAATATCATCCATGCGTATGCCGCCGGGACTTTTACTGTTCGAGCCAAGAACTCTGCCCGTTTGGAAGAGCTCAAGAATAAGGTCGATGCCTGCTTCAATGCTGGAGCTCAGGCGACGGGCGCCAAGTTAGTTGTCACCCCTCGAAGAGGTTACAAAGAACATATTCCGAACCGCATCTTGGCCCAGTCTTATACGAAGTACTTTAATGCCCTGGACCCTCCTGATAGAATCCTGGTAGATCAGGATCAGGATGAGATTCGCGGAACTACAAAAGCAAGCACCGACCAGGGAGACATCAGCTACGCCATGCCGAGCCTGAGCCCTGTTTTTTCCATTGTCCCAGGGCCGAATGGGATGGGGCCACATAATCCTGAGTTTGCGGAGGCCGCGGGGACGAAAGACGCATTCCATCGGGCGGCGAGGGTAGGCAAGGCCCTCGCCGGAGTTGCAGCTGATATCCTCACGAAAAAAAACCTATTGCATCAGGTCAAACGGAGATGGAGGGACGACTTGGCGGACCCTCCCAAAAATTAGTGGTGGTTCCTATATAAGAGTCAATGCATGTCCATTCATTCCCTCCAAGTGCATGATATCGCATCTCTCAAGGCGTTTGCTCCTGCTATCTGTACAGCTTGAGTATTTTTCTTCACTTCCTCTTCTCCCTGTCATAATGATTACCTGCTTACGGATCAGACTTGTCGATCCTGTAGCTTACGCTCCTCGAGGGTATTGATGAACAAGCCAAGGCTGGCATCTTTGAGACATGACTCGAGTAAGTTTGCTATAACTGTTAAACGTGCTTCACAGACTTTTAGGCAAGAACCAGTCTTAGACCAAGAGATGAACATCTTCTGTCAGTCTATGAACTGGTTGAATGATTGGATTCAAAAACATGCACCGACGGGAAAGAATCAGGGTGAACATGTCAAGATGCCCAGCGCTGTCTGACGCCACAGACTGCGCGCGTTGCACGGTACCCGCGGAGCAAATCTGGGCGGACCACTTCATGCGTGATTACGCCTAGTGCCCCGGTTAAAAAAGTGCCTTTTTATCTTCTAGATTCACGACGTCAATGTAGACGGCGGTGGGGTGCTGAACATAATGGTCCACCAGCTCAAATACATAAACCGCCCAGCCGGCGTCACAGGCTCTCGATTTGCAGCCAATTGGGGATATGGATGAATGGAGGTTAACAGAGGAAAGAACAATTGAGTTTGACCCGTGACTGATCTTTTCCAGCGCCGGCAGCTTCTAAGTGATCATCCTAGTTGTGTCAGAGCGGCGGCTCCGCGGAAGCCGACAAGCCTCCAATGCTCATGCTTTGCTGTCCTAGCTTTGCGGTCCTAAATAATTAATCGTATTTGATTTCTGAAATATTTTCAGGGTCTGTATCTTTTCTTTCTTTTTTCTTGTTCTCCTCATTCTTTTATTTCGATCTCAATCTTGCATCGCCTTGCCCCCTCGCTACCCACGCTCGTTCTATAGCCTTCCACGTCTAGTTTGCGAGTGTATCACCGACCCATCCAATTCAAAAAACGGTTAGCCGATATGTCTAGAAATGAGTATGAATCGTACGCTGAGCGTGAATATCAAATGGATGATATGCGCGGTGGTATGAGCGTCAGTGTGAGTCTCATCAGTGATGCCCCCATCCGAGCATGTATCAGAATCTGACACCCAACTCCCAGTATCATGCTCCCCCCGAATCCAATGATGGACGGGATTCGATGCTTTACCCAAATCAAAATCCATATAGCCCATACGGGGGAGATCGGCAAGCCAGCACGTACCCGCCAGAGTACGGCGACGATCGAGCGCCCAGCAGCGTGTATCCAAGCGCCGCGCCTGGCGACGTGCCTGGGGACTTCGACCAGATGCTGAATAATGGCTTCATGTACCAACCGCCGATATCGCCTGTTTCCGAAGCCCCTGGAGATAGCCGGGAGCTGCCTGTATTGCAGAGGGCCGAGATCCCAGGGGGCACAAGTCTTCGTCGACGCAATACACGAATGGTCAAGCTCATCAAGGGCTCTGTGCTCAGCGCCGATTATCCTGTTCCAAGCGCGATCAAGAATGCTCTGGAACCACAGTATCGAGACAGCGGAGAGGATGAATTCCTCAAGATGCGATATACGGCTGCTACTTGCGATCCGAACGACTTCACAATACAGAAGGGATATGACTTGCGGCCTCGGATGCTCAATCGGCACACGGAGTTGCTGATTGCGATCACGTACTATAATGAAGACAAGGTCCTGCTGGCTCGGACGCTTCATGGAGTTATGCTTAATATCCGCGACATTGTCAGACTGAAGAAGTCAACCTTTTGGGGCGCTGGAGGCCCTGCCTGGCAAAAGATCGTGGTCTGCCTGGTCTTTGACGGCATCTCCAAAGCCGACAAGGAGGTCTTGGATGTGCTTGCAACCGTTGGAGTGTATCAAGAAGCTGCGCTGAAACAGGACGTGAACGGCAACAAGACTGTAGCGCACATCTTCGAGTACACCACCCAACTTTCGATCACGCCAAACCAACAGCTTGTCCGTCCCAACGCCGAAGACAGCCAGCAAAATCTTCCCCCTGTGCAGCTGATGTTCTGTCTAAAGCAGGACAACAGCAAGAAGATCAACTCCCATCGCTGGCTTTTCAATGCATTCGGGCGGATCTTGAACCCAGAGGTGGCGATCCTGATTGACGCAGGCACAAAGCCTGGTCCGCGGTCGCTCCTTGGGCTCTGGGAGGCTTTTTATAACGACAAGCAGCTCGGAGGCGCCTGTGGTGAGATCCATGCAATGCTTGGTAAAGGGAAGAAGAAGCTGTTGAATCCCATCGTGGCTGTTCAGAATTTCGAGTATAAAATATCGAACATCCTGGACAAGCCGCTTGAGAGTGCTTTCGGGTATGTGACAGTTCTACCTGGAGCCTTCTCAGCGTACCGCTTCCGTGCCATCATGGGACGGCCCTTGGAGCAGTACTTTCACGGAGATCATACACTGTCCAAGATATTGGGGAAGAAAGGAATTGACGGCATGAACATCTTCAAGAAAAACATGTTTCTAGCGGAGGATCGTATCCTCTGCTTCGAACTGGTTGCCAAGTCGGGCCAAAGCTGGCATCTCTCGTATGTCAAGGCCGCCAAGGGAGAAACCGACGTCCCCGAAGGAACGGTCGAGTTCCTTAATCAGCGACGACGGTGGCTCAATGGATCGTTTGCCGCTTCGCTGTATTCTTTGATGCACTTTGGCAGGATTTACAAGTCAAGCCACAGCTTTATCCGAATGATATTTCTGCATATTCAACTCATCTACAACTTTTTGAACGTTCTGTTTAGTTGGTTTGCCCTCGCCTCTTACTATCTTACAACGGCCATTATCATGGATCTCGTGGGGACGCCTGAGATTCTTCTGGCTTACCATGGCTGGCCATTCGGTGACAAAGTAACGCCCGTCTTCAATACCCTGATGAAGTACATATACATCATCTTCATCATCATTCAATTCGTCTTGGCTCTTGGAAACAGACCAAAAGGTTCGCGGCATACTTACACGGCGTCTTTCATTGTGTTTGGGATTTCGCAGCTTTACATCCTGATCTTGTCCATGTATCTGGTATACAGAGCTCTTAGTGTGCCTATTGAAAAGCAGATCTCGTTTGCGTCAGGGCAAGACGTTCTCAACAGCTTCTTCGGCGGCGAGGGCGCGGCCGGAGTCATCCTGATCGCACTGATAACGATTTACGGCCTGAACTTTGTAGCTTCGTTTCTTTATCTCGATCCCTGGCACATGTTTCATTCCTTTCCTCAATATCTTGTCCTCATGTCGACTTATATCAACATCCTGATGACGTTTGCGTTCAACAACTGGCACGATGTCTCATGGGGAACAAAAGGATCGGACACGGTTGAAGCGCTACCTTCCGCTCATGTCGTTACAGATGGTGCAAACGGGCCTGCGGTGGAGGAGATCGAAAAAGAACAGGTGGACATCGACACAGAGTTCCAAAACACGGTGAAGAGGGCCCTGTCACCCTTCAAAGAGGAGGAAGAAATTGAGAAAATCGATGTGGACGACTCGTACAAGTCATTCCGAACTGGCCTGGTTGTCACTTGGATTCTCACCAACATGGCATTGATCGTGGGCGTTACCAGCGATGAATTTGCCAGTCTGGGGGTTGCTGTAAGTTTGTTCCTTTCGGAGTACCAAATATTAATTCGAATGGCTTTGCTAACAATAATTTTAGAAAGCTTCCACGGGACGAACTCCCATGTATTTCAGGACTTTACTGTATGCGACGGCCCTGCTTTCTATTGTCCGTTTCATTGGGTTCTTGTGGTTCTTAGGAAAATCCGGTATCATGTGCTGTTTTGCGAAGAGGTAGGAGGCATGTAGTGATTTCAGTCATATCCTAATGGCTCAAGATGTAAGGCCTCATTTCATTGCTGGATTGCCTAGGTTGGACATAAAGAGACATGTTTCACGGTTGGTGGTCATAGATTATTATGGTGGAATTTCTGCTGGTTTTGGGTATAGAACAAATTGTATGAGCTTGATCATAGAAACGTGAAATGGATTAATTCTTTTTTAGAGAAAATTCTAAGATTTTTTGATTTAATCAACGTATTGTTCGAGCATTGCTAACGCAGATTAATAAAAGCTCATCGTTCAAAAAAGGCAATGGCCGTGTCACCGGGTCCTTCATTATTAGACTCTTCAGGGAAGTTAGATTACAAAATATTTGACGAAATGAGGGACAAACTACCGTAGACGGCTGCGGTTTGTGCGACAGCAGTTGCAGGCAGTCAGTTAGTGTCATTGTTGCTACTTTATGCCGGATCATTCCAAGCTACTATATTTTTGATCTTGTGATAAAGTCAGGGCTTAGTGTGATTTTTCAGAACATTTTTATATAGTTTAGATTGTGGTAATCTTCTCAACTCTAGTTTTACGGATCCAACGTCAATATCACGATACTGACATGATATGCTAACGGGGGAATTACTTGACAGCCATTAGGATAGTTGCATATTTCCTAGCAATGGCTTGACATTGTTCTACGGGTACGTACTGACTTATTCAGGCTAAATGACTGTTTCATGGCGATTCCCTCAGTTGGATTATTCCTCCCGCATTCTTCTTTCTCTTGATTGACTTATAGTTGTGGTATTCTACTGTTGAGATTGGATTCAACACAAGCTTTCCTATGACCGTCTTCCTTGTTGGTGGCCTCTTTACACTTTCAACCGAGATAGATATCGGGGTCTATTTTATAACATCTAGCAGGCTGGAACTAAAAACCATTTACCTTCACTATATAGGAACTATACATATCCTACAGGATCTCAGACGGTATAGTACAATAGCCCGGAGGCCAGTCTGGATTTACTAAGCGGGCTTACGCTCCAAGATGAGACCAAAGTTTACCAGACTTTAGTCTTAGTCTCTTTTAGGCCTAGTAACCAATTGCATAGGTCAGCATTAAACTGCCTCATTCAGTAGGTTTTTGCTTGAATCACCACATCTAGCTAGTCAACCACCTCTCCAGGGCACTGTTGCCAGGTAGATGCAGATGCAGGCATTTACGAACCCAGGATTCGTTGGTACTATTTGTCATCAGGTGGAGAGTGTTTCGAATATTCAGTACTTATTCACAAAAGGACACATGAGTTTGTCAGATGCGCCAGTTTTCCTCAGCTACCGCCAGTGAATCCTCGCGACGAACAACGCCATATTCAAGCGCTCATCTCAACATCATGTCCAAGCAAACCATCCTGATTACTGGCTGCAGCGATGGCGGCATTGGCTCTGCATTGGCCATTGTCTTCCAAAAGCGAGGATTTCACGTCTTCGCTTCTGCTCGCGATTCCACTAAAATGAGCACACTCAAAGATCTCCCCGACATAACCCTTCTCACACTTGATGTGGTTAAGATAGTAGATATCAAGGATGCTGTTGACGCCATCTCGGCGAAAACCAATGGCACTCTGGACTATTTGATTAGCAATGCTGGGCGTAATCACTTCATGCCAATTCTCGATGAAGATCTTGATACTGTTAGAAATCTCTTTGAGATTAATTTCTTTGCTCCGATCGCCCTTGCCCAAGCCTTCTCTCCTTTACTCATCAAGGCCAAGGGCATGGCTGTCTTCATCGCCTCTATATCAGGGTATCTGAATATTCCCTACATGGGTAATTGCCCCGGACATGATAGCTCCCTACAGACTTTGTGCTAATGAAAGCAATATAGGTACATATTCAGCATCTAAAAGAGGCATGGAAGTTGTGGCAGACACCCTGCGACTCGAATTGGCCCCCTTTGGTGTTGATGTGCTGGAAGTAGTAACAGGCGCGGTCAAATCAAGGGGACAGACGTATTTCGGCGATTTCAAGCTCCCTGAGAATTCCTTGTATAAGAAGATTGAACCCACCATTGCCAATCGCGCCCAGGGAGGAGACGGGATGCCGAGAATGGATACTGAGGAATACGCCGCAGCAGTCAGCGAACAGATCCTCAAACGTATTACTGGCCGATTTTGGTGCGGGAAACAAGCTGATCAAACTCGAATGGCCACAACAGCAGTGGAAGTACCGCAAGCAGCTATGGATGCCGGGGCCGTGATCGGGACTGGCCTTGAGGAATTACCTTAGACTTGTGGTGTTCTACCTCTCTATCTCCCTTCGCCCATTTTCATAGCTATAACAACTAGCCATCGTTGCTAGCTTCGTTGCCAAGAGGCACATGGCTTGTCTCGAATTGACCGAGATCGAAGCTGTCAGCTATCGGGGTTGTGGGATGGACGATGTTGTGCTTCGAGTGTCTCACGACGGTATTACAACCCCCGCTGTCCGGCGCGTTGTTGGTATTTGGCTTTGCCTAATCACAACCAATGTTAGTCTTTGAAACTCCTTTCGATGGTAGTGGGAATTGTTATTGATGAAAATGTGACCTACCCCAGTGCAAGGAGGATGGACAATCATTTCCTTGTGTTTCCCCTTTTGTTCCCCCTTTTTCTTCCCCTTCAGTCCAACCGTGACCATCATGGGTTTCTCCTTTCTTGCCCGGGCCCTCTCCTTTTTAGCCTTCTGTGTCCTCTGCTTCTTAAACTTCTTTGAAAGTCTCTTTCCCGCCTTGGTTTGTGGCTTCGGTTTATGCTTTCTCTGCTTTGTGACTCCCTGATCATGGGGCCACTTCTCTGGAAAGCATTTCCCATGCAGGGCCATCACCCCCATCTCGCCGCACTTAGCCTCGTGCCCGTGATCCGGGTTCTTCCTGTTCCTCCACTTGGGTCTGCTCTGTTCGAGATAGTGTTTGGGCTGCTCCTGCTGTTTGCCAACCCCTTCCGAGCCCAACTTCTCCGAGGTTGAAATCAGAATCTTGTGGTCGTCCTTCCCTGCCCTGAAGTATTCCGCAGTCGTGACACCAGGAGCCCTGTTGTTCCCGACATGCTTCCCTTTCCACTGCTTATGTGCCTCCACGGCAACCTTGGCAAGCTCTCCCTTCTTTGGTCTTTTGGAATGGGGCCCCAGCTTAATCACGGACGAATAGAGCGTTCCTCCACTCTGTTTCTGGACGCTTTTGTCCTTTTGCATGCCGAGATTCGGGGCTGCGAAATTTGGTTTGGGCTTCAGCGCGTCGTTGAACGCCTTGTCTTCTGCCGCCTTCGCCTTCGCCTTTTCCTGTTTTTGCTGCTTTCTTCCCTCTTTCTTCCTTCGGTTCCTTTCCTTACTCTTTTCCTTATTCTTTTCGCGCTGTGTCTTGGGGTTTGACGCTGGCCCGCCGCAAGCTGGGCTGTCTGAACGCTTCACCTTGCCGCCCTTAGTCTGAATGAGACAGCTGTGGGGTGTGTTGGCTGACTTCTTGCTGCTAGCATTCTTAGGCTTACCAGCAGTCTTCTTATCAACAGCAGCCTTCTTGCCCTGAATATCCTTGGGCTTTTTCACAGGTTTCCTATTCCCGGCTTTCTTCTTGTTAGCACTCTTTGGCTTGCCAGCTGCCTTCTTGTTGCTGATACTCTTAGGCCCACCGGCGGCCTTCCTACTGGCAGCAGCCCCATCTTTTCCAGTAACATGGGTCTTCTTGTTAGCGACCTTCTTGTTGTTGGTGCCCTTGAGTTTTCCGGCGCTCTTCTTGCTGTTGGCGCTCTTAGGCTTGGCCTTAGGCTTCCCTGGCCCCTTGGGCTTACCGGCAGCCTTCTTGTTCTTAGCAGACTTTGGTTTAGAAGCTGCTTTAGACTTGGCGGCAGTCTTGGGCTTGCCGGGTGTCTTCTTCTTACTGGCAGCCTTGGGCTTACCAGCAGCTTTCTTGTTGCCAACGGTCTTCTTGTTACCCACTGTCTTAGGCTTGCCTGCAGCCTTTGGTTTATTCCCGCTCTTGGGCTTACCAGCTGCTTTGGACTTGCTAGCGGCCTTATTTGTAGATGCCTTGGGCTTAGCAGCAGACTTCTTTGGTGTAGCGGCCTTCTTCGCAGACGCCTTGGGTTTCGAAGCAGTTTTTTTCGGTGCTGTAGCCTTGGGTTTAGTGAAAGCCTTCTTCGGTGCCGTGGCTTTCTTTGGCGGTGCAGCTTTCTTCGCAGTCGCCTTGGGCTTAGCAGCACTCTTCTTCCGTGGTCCGGCCTTTTTCGCTGGTGCCTTGGGCTTAGCAAAGGCTTTCTTGGCCGGAGCAGCCTTCTTGGCCGGAGCAGCCTTCTTAGGTGGCGCAGCTTTTTTCGGTGCCGCCCTCTTAACGGCGACAACAGATCTCGTTAAAGGATCCACGGCAGTGACTCTGTCGAGGAGTCTTCGTTTCTTCTCGATATCACCGACTGATCCGCCGGTCATATCAGAGATAGCGCTTCGCTTAACTCTCTGGATAAGTCCACTTGCTACATCTCTGGCTGGGCGGATGACATTCGAGGACAAGCTATCGAAGCCTCTGGTCCTGATAGAGTCACCCCTCTGAGATTGACCGACTTCGTAATTAAGCGACGATCCCAGTACACTGCCCAAGAAGAAGAAAAATACAACAGCGGCAAATTGTAGCGTCCTCGAAGACAGCGCCATCGTGGCGGCCGAAGATCTTGAAGATATTCGTTAGGTCTGCATGTAATACGTTTTATGCGGCGTACTTAGTCACCTCAATTTCGTCCTGTTACCAAGAATTAGTACACGAGATGTGACTTTTTTTTCGTATAGGCACATACCTGAAACTCTCCAAGAATAATAAGGCCCTTGATGGACGGATGTTAGAGACAGACCTGCTGTCTAGATATCACAGTAGAATAGAAGAAAAACCAAGAAATGGACGGTGAAGAAGAGTTTGACCTGGGATTCATTATGCAGGGAGGAGTACAGATGCCACCGATCTGCTTGGTAGCATCTTGACGAGAGCATAAGGATATTTTACGTATCTGGCCCCAGAGGAGGCTCTACTCAAGTCCCTCGATGCTATGTAAGCTGCAGCAAGCCACAGTGGCATCTCTACTACTAAAACGGAGAGTTGATGCGCTCTCTCTCACATCAGCACCCCTGATGAGCGCATATCCGCTTAAGCAGGGAATATAGAGCATGGGTCCAGGACTCCAGAATGCAATGTAATAGGTCAGATCCAGCCGACTAATAGCTGCAAGCAGCGCAAAGGAGGGGCTTTGGTGCCTTTTCGTGGACCTATAACCCACTTGTTGGTCATCACTGCTGCTTTTCTTGCCCTTGTTGCCATGTTTTTTTTTCTTTTTTATCGCTGCACTTGATCTCTCCTCCGCCCACGGCCGGATGGACAGAAGCCAAGCTTCGAAAAGGTGCCCTCAGCCCTATAAACCGCGTTCTGGCTCGGCATGAATCCACTTCCATCGATTCAGCCGCACTTACAAGCGAAAATACCTTAGCCCATTGGGTCTTCTACGAAGGAGCTCGTATTCAGCGCCTTCACAATTTGCACCTGCTTACCATGCTCAGACGGATCAGTAATATCACGAATGTGAGGCGGCACAAGTCAGCCAGCCACCTTCTATTCCCTTCTGACAAGTACAGCAAACACTCACAGAATTGCGGTTGGCTTGATGTAGAAATCACGCTTAATTGTATAACGGGAACAGAAGAAGACACAATTGAAAACTACATGCTATTCTGTAGAAAGGTCCCAAAGCGGCGGGGAAGATCGTACAACCTCAACAACTATATCAAGAGGGGCTTCTCCCAACATCTTATCAAGCTCCTTATTTTCTAAGCAATCGTCATCCTCGTCAACAATCTCAACGCAACGTAGTCGTGGCAGACTAGTAGGACGAGTATCGGCTAAGCCTCGAAGTAGTTGTAGAAGGTCCTGTGTCGCTGGTCCGTCGTAGCCCGAGATCCATTCCACCGCACCATTGAAGAACATTCCGGTCGAGAGGGAAAGCGTCTCAACGCTGCGGGGGATATGGCGGCTCAAGGGCCGAGGCTCAGGCCCAAACTCGGCAAGACATACTAATGGTACGTCAAGGTGGGATATTCGGTCAAAGTTAGCAAGGCCGCTGAAGGATCCCGAGACGTTCATCCTATCTTCGCCGCCATGCATGGTAGTACGGATAGTGATTCTGAACCGCAGTCTCTCCAAGGAATCTCTGGTATGTGATAGAGCCGCCATGACCTCGTCAAGGTCAAGATTCCTCGTCATTAAAGGATCGTCAGTCCAAGGGGCATATTCCCACCTCCATGAGAGCGACGTTAGGTTCCGAGCGAGGGGTAGTATCTCAGCCATCGTGGCTGCCCGAGACCCCTCAATGTCGAGAGAGGTCAGGTGGCCAAGGTCGGGTTTACCCGAGGGCCAGCTGAAAGCGCCGCCCTGCGGATTGCCCATCCAAGCTGCCAGGTGCGTCACAGTTGGCAGATGAAATAGACCCATCACTTCATTAAACCTGTGCGGAGGAGCAGGCGCGTAGTAATCCAGGCCATGATAATAGACCAGTCGCCTGAGCTGTTCAAACTTGGGCAGCTGGCCGCCGACTTTCAGCTGCAGGATTTTTCCAACCAGATCAAGCCGGCGGATGTAATCTCCCGTGATGGTCAGACGGCGAATCCTGGAAAGGCGTGCAATCAACAGAGCAGCAAAGGCATCCATTCTGCCTGCCTTGAGCTTTCGCACCCAGAGGCCGGTGATTGGCGTGTTGAGCTTCCGAATGGCCTGGGTAAAGCTGGCAACTGCAGACCTCGAAGGCGTCAGAGCCCGGGGCGGATCCTCATCGCCAACGAATTCATCTCCATCTAGCTCGAGGGCGTGGATACAGTCGAAAAGCTCTGGCCTGCGGAGAAGTGTGTCCAGGAGAGGAATGATCCGGGGTTCCAGCTCCTGGTCCCACTTGAGGGTGATGGCAGAATACAGAGTAGACTCGGCAGAGCGACGAAGGGATTTGCTCGCCAGACAAACGTTGCGTAGGTCCGACGTCTGGAGGAGACTCCAGATATGGCTGGTGATTTCAGGTGGAGCGTTGGAGAGTCGCGGGCGCTTTTGCTTGGAGCGATTGCGATTGCGGTTACGATTGCGGTTGCCCATATTGGCGATTGAATCGAGCTGAGCTGGCGATGGGAACTGCTGAGAGGAGCAGGGATAAGGGTGAGTAATGGTGAGAGGACGAGGAGATTGACGAGGCAAAGGCGGGGAGCCGTATGATATTTTTAGGTGTGCATCACTGCCGAGAGTCAGCTTCAAGAAATGGGACTTTGGAAAAAGTGCACCGCTAATGCAGTTCTTCCCTCCGATAAGCGCGGCACCGATCCCAGTGATTATCATCCATTATCACTGAAGTGGTCATATATTACAGCGTGTATTCAACCATCAACAATCGCGGCACCACCTGTGCAACTACTCGATATCTCGTCAGTACAATAGCCCGGAGGCTAAAAGGTTTTCCTAATTTATAGGTTATACCGGTCTGGATTTAAACCAGTGACCTTACTAAGCGGGCTTACACTCCAAGATTAACCTCCACAAGGCCAGCATTAAACTACCTCCTCATTCAAGTAGGTTTCTGCTTGAATCACCACATCTGGCTAAGGTAGTTAACCACCTCTCCATGGCTATGGCCAGGTAGATGCAGGTAGAGCAGGCATTTATGAACCCAGGATTCGTTAGTACTGAGTGCTGCTAAGTTCGTGGGTTTCCGTCATTCGTAGGAAGGGTCAAGTTGGCTTGTGGCCACATCTCAACAAGGAGAAGAAAAACGAGATACATTCAGAACACGGTTTTTGGGTTGGTTGTATATCTGTTGTAAATAATATTCATTTGATCAATTGATTGCTTATAGCGAATTAGCTGTAAGAGCCCGTAAAGACACATTTCAAAGCATCACTTGAAGATGGAGCTATCTACTATTAATCACAATTGTGACAGGATCCGATAATTACATCGTCTGAATCGCAAAACAGTATTATGAGCCGTCGCCTAGAACATTAAATTATAATCCTCCACGATTAGTGTTCTGCTCATGCTACAGCGATTCTTACAAGAGTTGAACATACTAACTCGAAGGACATAGCGACGGAGTTATTATGACCACTGCAGTAACTCTAAGGATATAACAACGGAGTTATAAGCTCCCGTAGTATATTAGTATGTTATGGGGAGGGGAGTCTTGCGGCTAATCTCGGACCGTTAAGTATGCCGCTTAGATAACAAATCACCAACAGGTTCCAACAAACTCGGAAGACCGGAGGCTGCGGAAGGGTTGATCGGACCGCCCTCTCCGTGGATGTTGTGGTAGACCGGTGTGTATAAATGACAGAACGAACCGACCAATATGATACCTTCCTCTATGCTAAAGCTATCCCCATAGACGGTCAGAACTAGTCATGATGGCGAGCCATTTTCTCAAGCCTACCTTTTCTTTGATTGATCATGATGGTCGCAGGGTTGATGAAACAATCTTCCGAGGCAAGCCGACGATCGTTTTCTTCGGTTTCACCAACTGTGCTGTTGTCTGCCCACGAGCTCTTTCCCGGCTCACAGCTGTCATTAACAGTCTCAACCTAACTACCGACCAACTCAATGCCTTGTACATCTCGGTAGATCCACATCGGGACTCGCCAGAAGTCATGAAGTCGTTTTTGGCAGGGCGTGCTCCTCACTTCACAGGCTTGACCGGCACGCAGTCAGAGCTTGAGTCGGCTCGTAGGGGTTTCCGAGCATTTGCAAATAGCAAGCGCGAAAATGGTACACCGGGCAATTATGACGTTCCTCATACGGCCATCACGTATATATTAAATCATGACGGCAGTTTGGTGGACCATCTTCACGACAGTCTCAGCGACACGGAGGTAACATCCCGTCTCAAGCGTGTCATGGATGAAGTACATCAAAAGGATCGGGCTATCAAGACCGTTCCCTCGACAGAAACTGGTCGAGACAACACCATCGACGAAAGCTTAAAAGTATTGGACAAGAAACAGGTCGCCAGCATTAGACATATCGGCAACCTAGCTCGTCAACTCAAGGGAGACTGGTCGAACATGATGGGCCCGACAGACTTGAATGACGGGTTTGGGGCTTACCGCTTCCAGCTCGCCTACGGCTTCTATGCACTGGCGTTGGCTCACTTTCACAGGCTTCCAGCGGCTCCTGGATTATTCCAAGACACTATGGAGCGGATGATTGACAAGATGTGCCATCCAGATGTCTGGTTCTACTGGCGCGATGCAAGCACAGGTGGCGGTCTCGCGAGAACACCAAGGAAAGAGCCAGATGCAAACCCCATTGAGAAGGACAACATCATGTATAGTGCCTATCTACAAACAATGACGCTTCTTTACCATAGCCTGTTTGACGATGATCGCTACACAAAGCCTGGATCATTGAAGCTAGAGTACGACCCGTTCTTCTGGGGCGAACCTGGAGGATTCAAGTTTGAGTATGACCAGAATTCGCTCAACGATCGGGTCTACTGGAACATGGTTGAGAGCGGATATCTGGGTGTCGCCTGCGAGCCCTGGTGCGTGTTCCAGATCTGCAACCAGCCACCCATCATTGGCTTCCGCTTAAACGACGAGCTCACCGGTAGTCATACCGCCGATGAGGTCACCACAGGTTATATTAAAGCCTGGGAGGACTTTGGGGGCTCCATTGAGCCGGAAGGAGGCTATCGACTTTTTGTTGGCAGGCATAACAACATGGTAGCACCGAGTCCTGGAACGGGCATGGATGCTTGGTGTGCTTTCTTGATGCACTCGTGGAACCCAGACTTCGTGGAAAAGAACTATGAGCGGCAGCGTGCCAAGGCGCTGGTTCGACACGAGGACGGTACACTGTCAGTCAATGTCAGGATCATCGATGGACAGTCGAAAAATACCACGTTTCTGTTACAAGGTGCCGAGTTTGGCTGGTTTGCGGCTCTGGCTGCAGAGATGGGTGACGAAACCACACTGAAGGGACTTCTGGACTATGCCGACCATAAATTTCGACCCCGGTACCAGGATGGAGGGTTGCTGTACCCAAGAAATGACAACATCTTCGACGAGCACAGCCATTACAGTATGAACTCCCCGATCCAGTCCAACGCTCTTCTTCCACTTTCTCGTTTAAACGTGAGTGGTGGACTGAAACGCCTATACGACCAGCCGTGGGGTCCGAAGAACCGCGATCATTACGGAGAACCGGCCTTGACCAGCCTTGACTTTTGCATCGATGTTTATCGTGCAGTATACGATTCGAAACGGCGAGTTTTGATCTTCGACCTTGCGGTCTACGAGCCCGAGATGAGGGGAAAAGTTGTGCTTTCCAGAGTTTTCGGGGGGGGGGATTGGACTCTCTCCCGTGATGGAAGAGAGGTAGCACGGGGCGACAGCGAAGCCTTGACCAAGAACACATTGGAGAAGGGCATCGAGCAAAGTGGTGAGGAGCTGATATTGTTTATCACCGAGGCAGAGGTGACATCCTTTGTCATTTTGTGGCTCTAGATATCATAGCGAGATACCATGCGGTGATCCAGCAAGATGGAGTTCAACTTGATATAGCAGCTAACTCTGTTAAAGGCTGAGACAGATAAGCTAAATGAAGTTCCTAAGTTTGAATAATATACCTATCTAGCTATTTTCTTCTATATTTTAAAAGCTTAAAAGTATTTCTATTAATACTATCTCCTAGAACCCTTTCTTTATACTAGATTATAACTTTTTAGTAGCTAAAGATAATAATAGTAATCTAGTTTTAGATATTAAGAACTTCTATTAATTTAATTTATTATCTCTTTTTAACTTTAAGATAGTTTTTATATTAATTTTCTCTATAGATATATAATTAAAAATATTTCAATTAAAATTAAAAACTTTTAAAAAATATCTTATTATATAGAATTTTTTTATCTTATCCTTAAAGTAATATTATTAAATAAAGTAGAGTTAGATATAAATATTATATTATATTTGGTTTTCTAGTAAAGGATAGGTCTTATTAAGATTAATATAAATACTTATATAATAAGCAGAATTAATATTTCTATTCGTAAATATATGATTTTCATATAGTTAGAGTTCCTCTTTTAGTAACAACTTAAGCAAATCATATCTATACAGTTATATCCATCCATGTGGACCGGAGCATCGTGTCCGGGATTTGCCCTACAAGTCTTGCCAACTCTCAATGTGGCTCTAATCCGCCAAGTTCATTATATTCATTTTAGGTACAGCACTAGTAGAGACGCGATAATCTCACAATACCCTACTATTGGCCGTCCACAGCTCCTAGCGCCTGAAAACAGCCATCGGCTTCTACTAGCCGATTCCCCTGATTCACAGCCCGATTAATACTTGATTTCCTCCACTCGACCTTCTCGCTTTTGTGTCTTTTTTATTTCGATGTTTTGTTGAAGGCTTGAGGCGGTATCTACACTCTTTTTGTCAAAATGCTGTTTCCCAACTTTGTCGCTCTTTTCGCAGCCCTCGCCGTCTCTGGCGTGAGTGCCCTGCCCAAGCGTAACTGCAAGACTCGGACGAGCGCCGTGACTCCCTCCGTCACTAGCACTCCGAGCAGCACCGACTCTTCGAGCAGCAGTGTCTCTCCCTCCAGCACCCCCAGCCCTTCGAGCGTGATCATCTCATCCAGTGTCACTCCTTCCAGCACAGTCACTCCTTCAAGCACGTCCGGCCTCGAAAGCACCACCACCCCTGAGAGCTCGGCTACTCCCGAGAGTACGACTGTCCCCGAGAGCACAACTGTCCCCGAGAGCACAACTACCCCGGCGAGCACCACTCCCGAGAACACAACCGCTCCAGCAAGCACCACCACTCCTGAGAGCACCACCACTCCCGAGAGCACCACTACTCCCGAGAGCACCACCACTCCCGAGAGCACCACCGTCCCGCCAAGTACCACCGCTCCTCAGAGCACGACCATCGCTAGCACATCTACAGTCAACCCTTGTGCTGCTGTGACCAACCTCGTGCAGAACGGAGACTTTGAAACGCCTGGCGGCGCTCCGTGGTCATTCAATGGAGCAAGCCTTAGTGGGGTCAACCCTCAGAGCGGCAGCCTGTCATAGTAAGTTGGATTCATCTCCCATGATACCAAGAACCCAAGGCTCTAACCTGCCCCAGCTTCGACAACATCGTCAGCATCAACCAGAGGGACTACATACAGCAGACCATTGGCGGGCTCGTGACAGGAGCGAGCTACACCGTCCAATACAGTTGGTCGATCGTGGCTGGCTCGCTCTCCAACAACAAGGGCTGCTACATCGCCGCCCGCTTCGACGAATATGCCAACCAGGACTTTTACCCCTACCCCGTCGTTCCCCTCAGGCAGTACTACACTAAGACAGTAACTCTCGAGGCCCCCTCGCCTGTCATCAACTTCCAGATGTTCACCTTCTGCAACGCTCAGGCCAACGGTCTCCAGGTCACCCTCGATGACATTGCCATCTACCAGAACATTCCGGGCTGCCCGATCCCGGCAAGCGCAATCCCGGCATAAAAAGGGTACATCGCTCGCAGTTTCGGCAAAATATCAAGAACGCCGTGGTGCCATGACAACGAGGGTGCTCCATTGGGCTAACCTTTTTCTTCTTCTGGCGGGGAAGAGAACTCTCTTCCCATTCCTTCCTCATCGCCAACCTTTCTCGTCCCTCGGCCCAGCTTGGCCAACAATTTGTGGAGGCCAATGAAGCCTTAGGTTTGGATAAGGCGAAATTAATCTGATTAGACGGTGGCTAGCGGGTGGATATAATAGATTTGCTGAGGCCGTATACGGGTTCGCTCAGCTCTAATGTTTCATGGTTCAGTAATGAAAGTAGAGGCCCCTGTGACCGGAATGGCCTAGGTTCATTCGCACCCAGCATTCAGATAATAGGATTAATGAGAATGATAAAAACTGTTTGATTTCTAGTTGACAAGAAAGTAGATATGTTGAAGGTAGATGCTACCTGATACTATCTATTTATACATACATAAGGTCTGATCCAGTGTACAAAACTAATCCCATACCATATATTAAGGCTTTCTGGCCTATTACTCGATCATGGCAACGGTTGTACTTGACCTGCTCTAGATGCAAATACGCAACTTGTTCGAGGTTTGCCTCAAAGAAACTTGAAAGCGGTTTGAGCCAATGAATAGCAAAGGGTCCGAAGCAGTGTTGATTCATCCAGAAACAGGTGGCTTAGCCTAAGATTTCATGGGGTAGTGTCTGGGCCAGGCCGTCCTAATTAGCTGATAGGCAAACGCAACCCCATTGGGAATAAGCAGCCTACACTTCTCCAACCGCATTCTACAATCTCGATGCTACACCGTAAATAACCAATCACGAATACATATTAATGAAATACAGCCTAGTTATGCTTCTTTCGGAACTCGAAATATATCGAACTGGTTTCTTAGCTAACCTCATCTCCCATTTAATAAGCCCCGTCATTTGTTAGTCTCGACCACAAGGTCTTATCATCTGTACTGAGACGCTGAGGTTAGGTGTTGAACAGTATCTGTAGCATAACGTGAGGCACCATCAGCAAGAAGATACCCAAAATGGGCCACCTCATAGAAGAGATTGTTCCGGCCGTGGCAGAAGAGCCTCTTGCTATAATTGGCCAAACCATATCCGCGACTGCTACTGGTACTGCCACAACCCATCTAGATCTCCTAGCCCCAACAATAACAAACAATGGTCCTCCTCTGAGAAAGGCACGACAGCGGACAATCATCGGCTTGATTGTTCTCGCCAATTTCTTTCAAGTATGTTCATCATACACTCTGGATCAATGCTTACGCTGACCTCCAATGCGTAGTTCACTTGCATGTTTACTACTGTAGCAGGAGGCTACGAATTTAGCAAACGCCTCGGTGTCGAGCCCGGGCCAGGAAAGGCCAACTGGATGGCCGCTGCATACGGGTCTGTTTCCAATCCTGCTCTCAATAAGACTCTTTTATGACTCACTGTTTTTTTTGCTTTTATTTATTGCAGACTCACACAAAGCGCCATGGTCTTGATCAGCGGCCGACTAGGAGCCGTATATGGCCACAACAACTCCATGTTCGTCGGAGCCGCCAGCATTGCCCTCTTCTCGTTCACGACAGCATTCTGCCGAACGTATGATTCTTTCGTGGCGATGAGAGCGATGTCTGGTATCGGAGGAGGGCTCCTCATGCCAAACGCTGTCGCGACCCTGATGATCATGATTCCACCAGGCCTAACGCGCAATGCTACACTTGCCGTGTTTGCTGCCTCGCCGCCAGTAGGTGCCTTGGTCGGGGCTCTTCTCGCTGGCGTATTTCTGGATCAAGGAGATTGGAAATGGCTTTTTATCGTCATGTGAGTGCCCAAGGTTATTGGTGAGAGACTGTGAGACTAACAAGAGGATGTCACCAGTTCGCTACTTATGGTTGCCACAGTAGTGCCGCTGTTCTGTCTCCTACCCAAAGAGGAACCGGTCGATAAACATGGAAAAATTGATTTCATTGGGATTTTCCTTGGTCTGAGTGGCTTGATTTTGTTTAGCTTTGCTTGGAAGTATGTCATTTTTCGTCCCTATTCCCTCAAAGACTTTCCGCGATTGCTGATTGAAGTATTGTCTAGCCAAGCACCCGCTTCGGGTTGGAATACTCCGTACATCATTGCAACAACACTGCTATCTCTGGTATTGATTGGTGCATTCTTCGTTTGGGAGAGCAAGTTCGCCACTGAACCCATCATGCCGCTCAAAGTCTTTGCTGCACCGACCTTCACGACCCTCATCGTCGTTGTACTAGTGACCTATATGTCAGTTGGGATTTTCCTCTGGTATATGGTCGCGTGGCAGCAGCTCATCCGAGGCTGGACTGTTCTTGAGACAGCAGTGGGATGGGTCCCTTTTGCCGTCGGTGCATCCTGTGCCGTGGCTCTCGCAGCCGTCTTGATTCCCCGGCTAGAAGCGCAGTGGATCCTGTGTATCGGTGTTCTTACTTCTCTTGCATCTTTGATACTTCTGGCCACTATGCCGGCACAGCAGTTGTACTGGAAACAGACGTTCCCGGCAATCTTCCTCGCAAGCATGTGCCCTGATCTCGTCTACGTCGCTGCTCAGATCATTGCTAGCAACAGTGTTGGCAAACGAGAGCAAGGTGTTGCTGGTAGTCTGATTGGGACCCTGAACCTTTATGGAAATAGTCTGGGTTTAGGTATAGCAGGCACTGTGGAAGTTGAAGTTGTCCGGCGAGGTGCAAGCGAGCTCTGGGGTTTCCGCTCGGCCCTTTATTTCGGGGCTGCACTGACAGTCATCGCATTGGTCCTTAATCTCTTGTTCGTCCGCGTTCCCAAAGACGAGAATAGTGAGTGGAAGGCTGAAGCAGACAATTCTGCTTGAGATATAGAGGAGGCGAAAATGGGCGGCAGGACGAACACTGGTGAGAGGACAAAAAAACCTCAATGTTGGTATGCTACTCCCACCTGAGGTATATGATGGTATAGCAGTGGTATATAGTTCATGCTGAGAATTATTAACCACAGCTAGGTAGGTAGATTATGAAGAAAAAAGGTCATTAACCACTTCAGATAAGATCAAATACTCATTTCAAGGGCAATGATAGGTGCGTGAAAATCATGATAAATAGAATGCCGTCTTCTCCTTCGCTTGAAGAAAATGTTATTTCAACCTTTCCCACCCCGTTGAAGATTCGCTAACTCATTATACGATATGATCCTACTCCATTAGGAAGAAGTTCGCTTAAGATACGGATTGAGGCTTTATTCAATCACATACATTATTGAGTTGAGTAGGGAATACCGTCTTAATTCCACATGAACAAGTCAACGGTCACCCTTTTTTCACAACCAAATTTGTTGACTTTGGGTATGTTTGGTAGTCAGTTATCGTTGGATTTGATGACTGCTCTCTATATTCCAAGGTTTGAATATTTGCGCCTCGTTGAGGTGTTGATGCCCTGGGCTGCGCCAAAGAGTGTGAAATTTCCCTGCATAGGTGCATGGCGATGATATATGAGTTAGTCATGGCGATTAGTGAAAATTCTTTTAAGAGAGATGATTGATTGATTGCATTATTTGACTAGCACATTGTGGCGATTTAAACCTAGAGCTTGGTCGTTGGGCGGCGTGATGCGGGCCCCTTACCAGAGACATTTGATCGGGTATTGGAAGCTGATAATGCCATATATAGGATTGAATCGTTAAATTAGGATATCTTAACTGAAAACGGTATAATTAGGGTGAAATGCGAGGTTAACCAAGATATTTCGCTGACGGTGCTCGCCAGTCTCCGGAGGATCTGCAGATGACTCCGTTGCGATTGTTCACTGATAAAAAAACTTTAAGCGCCTTTGTTGAAGTGGTCCAATGAGAAGAATGATCATGTACTCCAGGCGCCTATCTCTGGTCTGCGCAATATGAACAAATTGACATAAAAACAATCCAAGGGGGAATATTTATTGTATTTTCTTTCTAAAAACTATAGTAATAATGGGCACAGCTATTCCGAAAAAAAAGGGAAAACCGAACTGCGGTAAATGTCAGCAATATAGCTACGCAGTAATAGTCAAGGATCAATAAACTTACCGATCCCAGTGTGCATTTTTTAGTCCTACTATTCTGTTACCATTGCTCTGAAGCTACAATTTCGAAGGAGTTGAAGTGACTTACCACGTCCAATCTGGGGTTGGTTCTTGATCTAAAGAAAAAGGAGGGGAAAAAAAAGAAAAGAAAAAGAAAAAAAAAAGAAAAGAAAAAGAAAAAAAAAAGAAGAAAAAGAAAAAGAAAAAAAAAAAAAGAAAAAGAAAAAAAAAAGAAAAGGAAGAAGAAAAAAAGAAGAAAAAGAAGAAAAAGAAAGAAAGAAGAAAAAAAGGAAAAAGAAAGAAAGAAGAAAAAAAAGGAAAAAGAAAGAAAGAAGAAGAGGGGGAAATAAGAGGAGGAATTTACCGAGGAGATGATTCCAGCGTTATTGAGTCTGCAATAGGTTCCAGTGTCGTCGAGTTCTACAATGTGGTTCCGGCTTCCCTGAGTTCGCTCTCAGTTTTGTTGAGTTTCAGAATCTCCGAGGGTAATTTGACACCAGGGAAATGGAAAGATGGTGTCAAATTATGGGCGGCGAAGTCGGACTCCTGCAACCTCCTCGTGGTGCCGCCCGGATACCTGGTCATTTTCCTTCTGGGACACTGATTTCAGGCAATGCAGGGGACGCAAATGTATAAACTAAAGATAATTGAATTGATGACGATATGTATCGGCAGCGTGTATCCACATGTAGCCTTATGGGTGACACCCATAGGTAGAAGTTCACACAATATGTTCTAGATCTTAATCTAGCCTCGATGAGAGTTAGCTTGGAGTAATCATCGAACGGATCACACTAACATCTCACCTTCAACTTGGATCTTACGTCTGATTTTGTATTTCCATATGTGTATGACATTGGGTCTTCTCATAGGTTGTAAACCAGTATATTGACATTGAAGGCTATTCCAGTTACCTATAACCAAGAACGCCAATGTAGT